CACACACACACACACTCACACTCACACTCTCTCACACACACACACACACACACACACACACACACACACACTTACACTCACACTCTCTCACACACTCACACGCTCACACACTCACAAACACACACTCACACACACACACACACACACACTCTTTCACACACTCACAAACACACACTCACACACACACACGCGCACACACACACACAAACTCTTTTTCATCCACAAAATGAACAAACTGTCAAAAACGGCTTCATCAGCAAATGCAGCTCAGATGATCCGGAGAGCGTCCTGCTCGAATATTCCTCTAACGCTCATCTAACGCTCACATAACGTTCATCAAATATTCAGTCTCACAAAGAAAAATACTTTTCATTTTACAATAACTTCCGTACACGTTAGTTTCTCTGCATTTATTTCCAGCTGATTAGAGTAAAACTGAGATGAATCATTTTAAAGCAAAGTTCATACTGAACTGATTCGTGTGCAACTTCATGAACTCTGATTCATATTTCCATATTTGTTAACGGAAAGAATCACTAACAACAAGAACTGGGCCTTTTAAACTGAGTGATTGTCCAAAAAAAAAAAAATTTGAAATTAAAAACTAAGAATGAACTAAAATGCAACTGACACTGAAAATAACAAACCCAAGAAGCAATGATAAGCAGTGCAGTCTTCTGAAGCAGAATCACGTGAGAGAACATGTGAAGATGTCAGACCTTCCTGAAGACGAAGGGCTCCTCGTTGTAGTACGGGTTCAGGCCGTTGTTCATCACCATACGTGTGCGGAACTCTTTCCGGATGGTGTCGGTGGGAAGGCCGTACATGTCCACCTCCACATACGTGCCGATCTTCTTATCCGATAAGAACTGACCCGAGAACACCTGAGGAACGACACGGACACGAGCGTCAGTCAGAGCGGCTGCCAGACTGATCCAGGAACAGATGAGAGTCACACATTCTATTACAGAGTCATGATCCAGAGTCGTGTCACACATTTCTGTGCTCATTAATAACTCTGATCCTCTCAGACGGTTACTACTCTTCCTTTATGTCAAGTCAAATCTGAAAAGCCTAATTCTCAGACACACATCCGAGTGCTCTAGATAATAGATAATGGTCAGGTTTGTTTTAAGCGAGTGTACAGAATTCTCAGGAAGCACCAGTGAAGATACAATCATTGTCTTACATGAAAAACAGCCAGTTATCATCAACACTATCAGTTTATTACTGTCCAGATCTGATTAGTCAAGTCAAGTCAGCTTTATTTATCAAGCGCTTGTAACAATACAGATCGTGTCTAAGCAGCTGTACAGTATTAAATATGAAAATAGTGTGTCAGTAATGCAGAAGGACAACAGTAAACACTCAATTATCATTAATTCAGTTCATCATCGTCCAGCTCAGCTCAGTTTAAATAGTGTCTGTGCAATCAAGTCCACGATATCGCTGGATATTAGCAATTATTTGAGTGATTATTTTGGAAATACAGAGTATGGCTTTAATTTGCATTAGTAATGTCTCTGATTTCAGGCAGAATTACTATATTGTGATGTCGTTCCTTAATGTAGTTATAACTTACTTATATCGAGAAAAAAACGTTGGTAATAAATGACTTATATTGTGGTAAAGATTCGATTGGTCACATCGCCACGCTTTAAGCGGTTTAAACAGAGCTGCTAGAGAACGCAGCCAGAGGCGACTGAGGAACGGAGCGAAAAACTCCATTTTGGTGGAAACGGGAGAAATAAAAGACATCTGTATGTAAATGAGCTCTGATTGATGAACGTGAGTGTTAACTGCAGCCACAGTGTTAGCTTTGATGAAAACTGAGGGACCAGATGAAGTTCTGTTCAGTTATGGATATGATGTGTGTGTGTGTGTGTGCGTGCGAGTGTGTGTGTGTGTAAGAGAGAGTGTGTGCGTGCGTAAGTCTGTGTGTGTGTATGTGTATGTAAGAAAGAGTGAGTGTGTGTGTGTTCATGCATGAGTGTGTGTGTGTGTGTGTGTGTAAGAGAGAGTGTGTGCGTGCGTAAGTCTGTGTGTGTGGATGTGTATGTAAGAAAGAGTGAGTGTGTGTGTGTTCATGCATGAGTGTGTGTGTGTGTGTGTGTGTAAGAGAGAGTGTGTGTGTGTGCACGTGTGTGTGCATGCATGAGTGTGTGTGAGTGTGTGAGTGAGTGTGTGTGTGTGTAAGAGTGAGTGTGTGTGTGCATGCATGAGTGTGTGCGTGCGTAAGTGTGTGTGTGTGTGTGTGCGTGCGAGTGTGTGTGTGTGTAAGAGAGAGTGTGTGCGTGCGTAAGTCTGTGTGTGTGTATGTGATTGTAAGAAAGAGTGAGTGTGTGTGTGTTCATGCATGAGTGTGTGTGTGTGTGTGTGTGTAAGAGAGAGTGTGTGCGTGCGTAAGTCTGTGTGTGTGTGTGTGTGTATAAGAGTGAGTGTGTGTGTGTGTATAAGAGTGAGTGTGTGTGTGCGTGTAAGAGTGAGTGTGTGTGTGCATGCATGAGTGTGTGTGTGTGTGTGTGTGTGTGTGTGTGTGTGTGTATATAAGAGTGAGTGTGTGTGTATAAGAGTGAGTGTGTGTGTGCATGCATGAGTGTGTGTGTGTGTGTGAGTGAGTGTGTGTGTGTGTGAGAGTGAGTGTGTGTGTGCATGCATGAGTGTGTGTGTGCGTGCGTAAGTCTGTGTGTGTGTGTGTATAAGAGTGAGTGTGTGTGTGAGTGTGTCACCTGTACGCTGCAGGTCGCTGCTATCACTCCATCTACTGGCGTCTCAGAGAACGGGTCGAACATTCTGTCGGCGCGGCGCATGAAGTCTGGTTTGAGGAGGTACCTGCAGGAGAGAGTCGCAGGAATCACTGCAGCATCTCCAGAGAAACGCTCCTCACCATCCCTCCACTCAGACAAGCCTCCAGGCCAGATATTAATTATTTTTATGATTAATTGTTCCAAGAGAAGATTAATGATCCAAGCTCTTTCCATTACACAATCCCACATCTCCTCATACACACACACACACTCACTCTTACACACTCTCACACATATACACACACACTGAGGGGCTGCTGGGTAATAACGGGACATTAAGAGACTGTGATATTAGCACTCGTGGGCCGGTAATCCCAGACGAGTGTTAGGCCTCTGGCTGGACTCGTTCATGAGAATCTGTGTGCGAGGGCCGATGTTTAGTGAGCGCTCATTTGCACTAATGTTAGCGAGCGGACGCGCCGCCGCCGGCTGCAGCTAATGCGATGTGACACTGTAATTGATGAGCTGCAGCAAACACTCACCCGCATGCGCCGTTGTACTCGAACTTCCCCTGATTCAGCTGCATGCCCAGATCTGAAACACAGAAGATATGCTGCTTTACACAAGAGCTTAAAACACAAGCATTCTTACACAGACCCGTGCTAACAGGGGGAAAGTAATAGATATATATGTGTGTTTGTGTGTATATATATATATTAGTGCTGTCAAAAGATGAATCACAATCCAAAATTGCATCCAAAATAAAAGTTTTTGTTTACATAATATATGTATGCGTATATTTATTATGTATATATAAAAGCACACATACAGCATATATTATAAAAATATTTACATATTTCTATTCATATAATTTATATTACATATAAATATATATTATATAAACATAACATATTTTTCTTAAATATATACATGCATGCATGCGTGTGTGTGTGTGTGTGTGTGTGTGTGTGTGTGTGAAAGAGAGAGAGATGCACTGAAAAAATGATTTATTGAATTTACACAATTTTTTTTAAGGTAAGTGTTGCAATCAATTTATTTTAGATACATTTAAACAAATTTCCTTGACTAACTTAACATTTTTTTTATTTAAATGTAGCTAAAATTAATTGTTGCAACCACTTACCTTAAAAAAAATTATTATATTTTTAGATAGATAATATTGTTCCTACAAATTAAGAATTTATTCCCATGACTATTTAATTCAGTCCATTGTTTTAGTTAAATTGTGGCCTTGAATTAAAAATCTGCTCATTTTAGTAAAATGAGCAAAATAGCATAAATTGTACAAATTAGCACAATGTGGCCAAAATGTACTAAAATAAGCAAATTAATAAATCATGGGAACAAATTCTTAATTTGTAACCACAATCTGTCCACATATCATTTGTGGGGCTCCTAGATTCTGATCCAAGACCTGACATTTTTATTTATATCCAGTATTTTATGAATTATCATTGAATTATTAGCTTAGCAGGTTTCATTTCAGTCCATATGCTGTCTATTTGCACATTATGAAAGCATTATAATGCATTATAAACACATCACTTGACGAGTTCTATTACGCTGTGAGTTATGATTAGAAACTCGGTCCTAAAGAACGTGATGGGAGATGCAGGCGGTTGCCAGGGTGTTGCTATGGACGCAGGAGTCTCAGCAGCTCTGCTCGGTAGATGTGTCTGGGGTTCTGCGTCTGATCGACGGCTCAACAACACTGGAGCTCGCACACACTCGTCTTCAGCTGTATTAAAGCATCCTCTCTGATCTGCGCTCCGTCTGTCGCACACCAGTGTTTGTGAACAGATGCTGCGCTGCTCTGAACATACGGGAGCAAGCGCATTATTACTGACAAACACAGCCGATGTTAGCTCACAAACACTGAAGAATCAGCATCCAGAGATCACTAACCACACTCCCGTCCTCAGCAGGAGCTTCATCTGAAATGATCTGAATAACGACTCTACTGTCTTCTGCAGAGCTGCACAACAGCAGAAAGATGTTTGCTATTCTCCAGCTTCACTAGTGATGCACGACTAACTGATGAAGTCGAGCGTGTGTCGAGGAGCGTGTGCTGGTGTCAAACGCACCGTTTTCACCAGAAAACAGATGAAAAACCAGAAGATACCGAGGCTCCTGAACCACAGACTGGAGGAAAACACCTAACAAGGCTGTCAGGTCAGATCTGATTTTACACTCTAGCTGGCCAAAATGATCAGAAGGCTAGTATTCTCAGCAGCTATAAATGGTTTTAAGTCAGTTATTTCTATCTTTTGCTGTAGTGTGTCAGGAGGAAATATCAGCTTACATTTCCAAACATTCATTTAGACATTAATTGTATACAGTGAGATATATGTTAGTGCTGCACACAGAGATGTGATCTGATCATCATCAGTCTGTCTGGAGTCACATGAAGAAACAGAACAAACTGAGACAGACTCAATCCAGAAGAACTGACGCTTCAAGAAACCTCCTGCGAAGCTCCTGAGAAACTCTGCTCAAGACGCTTCACTGTATTTTCTGAGTTCAGTTCTTTCAGAACACAGGCGTCTCAGTGCAGACTGATGTCATGTAGTTTCTGTACATGCGTGTTAATGCAATGCGTGTCTCTCTGTGCGTACAGTAACGGCCCCGGCGGCTCTCGGGCCCCGGGCCCCGGCTGTACCTGGAGTCTGGAAGTTCAGAGACACCATCTGGCAGCCGGCGTTCCAGAAGATCTGAGGCATGTAATTGCTGGAGTCCACGCGGCCTCCTTTGGGGTAGATGCGGCTCATCTGCCGCTTGTTGTAGCTGCGCGTCCGCGGCTGAGGAAAACACGCGGCAGACCCCCGGCGGAGCTATATTTAACACCGAACAGCAGGGAGCGTTCCCCGAGGATTCACACGGTTCACCGGAGAGCAAGCCTCTCTTAAAACACTCAAACTAACAGAGAAACATTTCCAAGAAATCTGCTCACATCTACATCGAACTACAGAACCTACTAACTAACTAACAGAAGCTACTAGTTATCAAACTCATCATGACACGATTACGCTTCAGTGGAGCTTCTGGTGTAAGAACAAGTCATTTTTATACGGCTGAACGGTTTAAAGGTGCACTCGGTATGTTTAGTTTCCTCTAAGCAGAGACAATAATGATGTTAATTACATACACTTTCAAAGTGTTTCCCCTTTTTGTAACAATATTTAATATATGTTGTTTTGATAACACTTTAGTATAGGCACCAATTCACTATTCACAATTCACAAATCACTATTAACTAGTTGCTTATTAGCATGCCTATTATTAACATGTTGGCTGTTTATTAATGCTTATAAAGCACATATTCTGCATGACCATATTCTATATCTCTAATCCTACCCCATTCCTAAACTTAACAACTACCTTACTAACTATTAATAAGCAGCAAATTAGGAGTTTATTGAGGCAAAAGTTGTAGTTAATGGTTTGGTAATAGCAAGAATTAGACCTTAATATAATGTGACCGTTGTTTCTTGTTTTGCGTCACATAACTGAACGTTTAAATCATTTTTATATGATTTTTTTGAAGCCTTGATGTGCTCCATGTTACTAACTCTATTTAACATCCAGCATAATGTTGCTGCCCGTATTATGTATTTATATGTTAAAAATATGACTAATATATTTATTGAGCAAACAAGCTGCTTCAGAAACTCAGATCTACAAATTTTGCCTTATAACAGCAAACATCACTGAAAGATGATCAGGATCAGTCTGCATCAAAAGAGTTCACGGAGTGTTTAGACCGATCTCAGCGGAACTCTAACGTGTTGATAATAATAATAGCATCCTGTAAGAATAACACACACACACACACACACACACACACACACACACACACACACTCTCTC